TCTGAGGCAGGAACATCATGGTGGAAGGGTGTGGCAGAGGGTAGTTGCTCAGCTCATGGAAACCACAAAGTGAAGAGAGAGAGAAATAGGAGGAGCTGGGCACCAGCTATACCCCTCCAGGACACACTCCCACTGACTGCTGCCTCCAACTCGGCCCCACCTCCTGCAGTTACGACCACCTCCCAGTAATGCCATCAATTATGAAGCTATCAATGGATTAATCCACTGATGAGGTCAGAGCCCCCATGATAAAATCGCTTCCCAAGAGCCCCACATCTGAACACTGCTGCACTGGAGACCAAACCTTCAACACGTGAGACTTTGGGGGATATTCCAGATCCAAAACCCAAACACAAAGCATCAGTTTTTCAGTACAGTTTGGTAGGTTTTGAATATATCGACAGGGAGCCAACAGCATTTGATATTTACAAAGCTCAAAACTTTTAAGGGAAAAGCCCAATTTGGAGGTGTTGCTGATTCTTTCCTTCAATCATTTTGATCTCTTACAGACTTCAGGGAAATGGAGGGCTCCAGTGTCTTCCCGAAGCTTCCTCCAATGATTGCTTGTCATGAGGATTTCATGGTGCTCCCCAGACAATGCCCAGAATCTTCTCCTTGTAGAATCCTAGTGGGTTACTCTGAGGGAGCGGAACATCAACTCCCGGTGGGACCAGAAAAGAATTTTCAAGACATAATTGAGGGACAGGCCCCCACGTACAGAATTTCTTTCATCCCTTGCAGTGAAGTCTGACTGAGGGGCCTCTGTGGTTTGTGGCTGTCTGGCTCCCCCAGGCTCTGCGGCCCTCCCGCCCGCCTGCCCCTCTTGCCTGACTAGGGGAAGCAGGTCCTGAGCACCCAGCAGGCTTCCCGGGCAGCCTTCCTCCCCCGCACTCTTGGCATTCATATGGCATGGCTATAAATTATGCCCAGCGTGTTCATTTTCAGTTTAAATGTGTTCTCATCCCAGAGGAGCGACTAATGGCGTCAAGTTACTGATGTGAAAAAAGCATGCCGCTACAATGACTATGGATTAATGAAATAGCAGTCGCGGAGGCTGGGGTTGCAATAAATCGTCAGCCACTGGTGACATGGATTTTAAATTATGTTCCCTGTCCCTTCTCCCTTCTCCCAAATTATTTTGCTGTAAAGTTGTTGGGTAAATGTTTACCTTTACTTAATGTTGGCTTTGTAATAAAAGTTGAGGCAAACAGAGCCCTTTCCTCTTAGAAAACTGCAAACCAGCTGAGAGGGATTTAAAAGTCTATCATACTTTCTCTAGGAGGCATGAAGGCAAATCTCTTAATCCAGGATCATCAGTGACTGATAAATTTCATTCAGGGAACTGGCAAACACAGCATTCTATCAGTAAACTCTGCCCATTTGGCATGGAAGCTGCTACACCTTTACCTTCTCTTAGGGCCTGCTATTCCCCCAGTGAATTGAAAACATGAGTCTCCAGCACATTTCCCACCAGTGTTTTTTGAAATGTGGCAAGTCTATTTTTCATTCGATAAAGGACCCCAGGGAGTCCACTGATGAGCCATGTAGGGATTCTGAGAATCCCTGATCCTAAAAGCAAATTGTTCATATGTTTTTCTAGAAAGATGACCTATAGATTTCATCAAATTCACTAAATGTGCCGTAACACCTAAAGAGTTTAAAGATCACCGTGGTAAATTGCACAATTTCTTTCCCTGCATGTATCCATGTCCTTGCAGTGGGACTTTGTAGCTTCTCCTATTGAGAACAGGAGTGTTTTTCCATCCTTTGATTTGGGGCTGGCCTTCAGATTGGTTTTGGCTCATGGGATTTTGGCAAATGTGACAGAAACAGGTTAGAAATGCATTTATACATTAGGGTTTGCCTATTTATTGTTCCTGGAACTCTCCTGCCATGTGAACAAGGCTGGGTTCCCCTGATGAGCTACCTGCCTAGTCACCCCAGAGCTCCCAGCTCACTCACGGGCAGCTGCAGACAATGTGAACTTATCCATGACCAGTGGCATCTGGACCAAACCTGAACTGTCAAGCACAACTAGAATTATGAGATAAAGAAACATTGCTTATGGAATTATGAGATAAATAAACACTGCTTTGAGCCACTAAGTTCTGGGGTAGTTTGTTGTGCAGTAAATGATAATGGGTAAGAATTCTATACTAGAGAGTGTGTTTTCAGGATGGGGACATGTCTGCTTTGGTCCACACGTTCCCTTTTCCTAAAAACACAGGAGCCACTCAGTACATATTTGTTGAATTGGGTGGAACTGGTCTCCCCAAGACAGAGAGTAAGCCCCTTTCTCAAGGTCACTAGGTTAATCAGGAGGGACTTCAGAACACCTGACTGTGAGCCTCAGTTTCCTCGCTTATAAAACAGGCTTCTATTGTGCTATTTTGGTTATTAAATATACTATATTCCCTGGAGATGTGCTTCTGAAGCAAAAGCAAGCTTATGAAGAGGCCTTGGAGCTTACTAGCACACAGAATATCTTGCACATTTCACCGTCTCTGTAGCTGCCCAGTGTAGGACAGGAAGACTTCAGTGTCCATTTCTCAGCTTTTTCTGCTACAAAGTAAGATCTGATCCTTCAAGCCCCAGCAGACATCATTCTGAGTGTGTTTTCTTGTTGCTGCATGGCAGCCACAGGGCCAGAGGACTTGCCACTCCCTCCTGTGAGTTAGGGAGGGCACCCAAATAGGACCCAGGAGTGTGGATTGCTGCTTTGGATCCTGCCATTACTGCTGCATCTTGCTTCCTCACTTGTGGAATAAGGCATGGCTGACAGCATCCCTCTCAGCTATAGGCATCCAAGGGCTCCAGCACTACCAGTCTCATCTAGGCATGAGGGACGATTGCTCCCAGGATCAGTAAGCCATAAAAAACTGTTTAACAAGCAAAAGAAAAGCTTTGTTGTTGTTGTTGTTGTTGTTGAAAAAGCAGGCCAAAGAGTTGGGAAATAGAAAAGAGGGAAAAAGAGAACAAGTCTCGTTTGAAGGGGGATTCTAGAAATTTCCTTCCTACAGGATAGTGCAGCTTTGTCCTTACATCAAACCATGGATTTGGGGAATTAACAGAAAAGAAAATTTTAAGGAGAAAAAAAAAAGATGACATACTCAAAGAATTATAAAAAGCTCATGAAAAAGAGTCACACAAAGCGCTGTGAGACATTCGGATAAACTTTTTTTGTATTTTTGGCAGTAAGACTTCCTTCCTATCCTTCTTAGTAACATCTAAAATGACTTCTTTCTAGGATTGAAGATAAACATTGTTGTGTTCAAGTTGTAGTTGGAAACAGTGTACACAAACATCACTTATTACAAAGAGTAAAGACAACAGTCTCTGAATTCTGCTTCTAGACAAAGCAATCTAGAACAAAAAGAGCAAACCAGAGGCACCACAATACCTAATTTCAAGACATATTACAGAGGCATAGTAACCAAACATCATGGAGCTAGCATAAAAACAGATACACAAATGAGTGGAACACAACAGAGATTCCAGATATAAACCCACACATCTCCAACCAACTGATTCTCAATGAAGGCGCCAAAAACACACATTGAAAAATAACAGCCTTTTTCATCAAATGGTGCTGGGAAAACTGGAGGTCTAGATGGAAATTGAAACTAGATCCTTCATGGAAATCAACTCCAACTTAATGTAGGACCTGAAAGTACATTGGGATTGGCAATGATTTTTATAGACACTGGTATAGGGAGTGAGTTTTTGAATATAACCCCAAAAGTATAGGGAGAAAAGCATAAATAGATAAATGGAATTACATCAACCTAAAAATTGTACAGTAAAAGATACAATCAAATACATTAGAAAACGTACAGAATGGGAGAAAATATTTGCTACTGTCCATCTGACAAAGGATTAATATCCAGAATAGAGAAGAAACTTCAAAAAACTATTAAAAATGAGTAATACAATTTAAAATGGGTAAATAATATGAATAGGACCATCTCTTATGGCCAAGAAAGGTGGGGAAAAAATGTTCAATGTCATTAGTCATCAGGGAAATGCAAATCAAAACTACAAGAAGATTCCATCTCACCCTTGTTAAAATGGCTATTATAAAAACAAAAACAAAAAACAAAAGGGGCTGGCAAAGATGTGAAGAAAAAGGAATTTTTATACACTGTATGTGGGAATGTGAGTTAGTATAACCACTGTGGAAAACAGTGTGGAGATTCCTTATAAAACTAATAATATATTTATCATATGACCCAGTTATCCTACTTCTGGGTATATATCCAAAGGAAAATATACCTGCATGCTCATGTTCATTGTGGTGCTATTCACAACAGCTAAGATATGGAATCAGCCTAGGGGTCCATCAACAGAAAAACAAAAAGAAAATGGAGTATACATACACAGTGGAGTATTAGCCAGTCATCAAGAAGAATGAAATCCTGTCATTTGCAGGAAAATAAATGGAAGTAGAGGGCATTATGTTAAGTGGAATAAGTCATACATAGAAAGACAAATATCACATTTTCTTTCATATGTGGAAGTTAATTTAAAAAAAAGTCAACTAGAATGTAGAATAGTGATTTCTAGAGGCTAGAAACTAGGTAGGGGTGAGGAGTTGGATTTGATCTCTGCATACTGTATACACATATTGAAATATCACACTGCACCCCATTAATATAGACAATACATGTTAATAAGAAATAACATAAAATAAGGGCTCAGGGTATAATGTTTGCCTAGCACATGCAAGGCTCTGGATGCAGTCCCCAGCACTGCAAAACCAATAAGTAACCTAACATAAAGCAATAGTAAAGTCCTTCCTCTTGCCAAAATGGACATTAAGTTTGTGCTTGGAAGCAAGTATGAAAATGGTGATATTTATCCAATCATGTTCACATAAATTCAAAGAGAAAGTTGGAATTTATTCTGTCATACCTTTAATCAGATTTTCTATCTTGAACATTGAGATCTTAAACATTAAAATCACCAATGAGTAAACAAAGAAAAAAAGTTACCAGATAGCATTTCAACTAACTTTTTTTGTATTTATTATAACCGTGCTTCTCTACAACTAGGGATTCTATGGTTGACAAGCCACGTGTCTGCCTTTATTTACCTACATAAACACAAAACAGCATTTTCAACAAGGAAGATCCACACAGCAAACAAAGTACAAATTGGTGTGACCTCAATAAGGCATCGATAAGGTTACAAGCCATCTCTCTCTCTCTCCAGCTGGGCTTCCTTAGGATGCTCTTATGTTGGCATCACATTCTTCTAAGAGTAGAATCAAATCTTCAATCAGGCTGTGTTCTCTGCCATGTGTCACTCGCATGATATCAAAAGCCTAAAGAGGAAGGAGAGAAGACAGATCAGACCTCCAAACAGGTGAGCCCCTGCCACTCCCCCTCCCTTTCCCAAGATGCTAAGGGTCCGGTGACCCTGCAGTCTACACAGTGAGCAGTCTCTAACAGGACTGCAGCACTGTGGTTCCCTGAGTCAGCACATAAGTGACAAGGCTGGTGTGTGAATGTAGAGTTTGGAAAGTAGACTCACTTCTCACATCATGCCAGGGCCCAGTGACTAACAACCATCTTCAGGGGCTGTTACAGTGCACAGGTTTAGGTGGCTACTTATAGAGGTTTAACCATTGACTACTAAAACAAGTCACATGAAAGAAGAAATACCTCCTTACAATATTTTTACTCTTTTGTATGCTGCATTCGATTCTTATCTATGTGGGCTGTGATTATTATCTACATATATTCTTCTGTTCTTTTCATATCATATGACACTACAGCATTGGCATTTCAACGAGCCCATCCTTCATCTTCCATGATTAGTCCATTACTAAATCTTGTCAATTCTACCTCCAAAATATTTCTCAGTTGTGGAGAGCTTGTGACTGAATACTTCAGTAAGAGAATATAGTGGAAGGAAAGCTACTGGCTTAAAAGGCCATAAAGCCTCTACCTTGTTCACTAGCTTATCTGTTCCTGGAACCAGGAGCCTCCATGCTGTGAGGAAGCCCAAGTCATGTGGAGAAACCATGTGTAGGTGGCTCTTGGTGACAGTCCCAGCTGAGCCCATCCTTCAAGCCACCCTAACCAAGGCATGAGATGTGTCATAAAGAAACTTATGGGTAATTCCAGTGCCCAACCAGAAGTCAGGCTGATGAAACCCCATCAGTGAATCCTTCTAGATGAAGCACCAGACATTGTGGACAAGAAGAATGCCATTCCGTTGTGCTTTGTTCAGATTTCTAACCCACAGAATCTGTAAAAATAATTTTGTTGTTTTACTCTACTCAGTTTATTATGGAGCAATAAATAACCAGAATACCTTCAACATTCTTTATTTGAGATAAATAAGAGATTTTTAAAAAATATATTTTTAAGGGTAGATGCACACAATATCTATATTTTTATTTATTTATTTTTACGTGATGCTGAGGATCAAACCCAGTGCCTCACGTATGCGAGGCAAGTGCTCTACCACTGAGCTACAACCCCAGCCCCAATAAATGAGAATTTAAGCAGTATCATCTTAGATTGCCCAAATCATAGGCGGGGTGGGCTGGGGGTGGGGGAGTGAGGGATTCCAAGAGTCAGTGCATCCTATGGGAATATGTTCTGGAAACCTGTATAGATGTGGCTCTGGCGACTGTTAAACATCCAGCAAAGTATCCTGGCACATCGTCCTAAGACTCTCACCCTTGGCTGTATAGACCAGCACCCAGACCACCCATGTGATCTACTGAAATTGCTCTCTGGGAGCTGGGCCTGAGCTCCAGGAGACTCTAGCATGCCCCATCAGCTGAGAACAATTAAAAGAGTAACGTCAACAAATAATAACTACTATTTATTACTGTTAATTTATAGTCAGCATAATTATAATTTTAATGGTTGTATACAATTAATTCCATCAGGTTTATTAACCATTATTTATTAAACTACTCTCAGAAATTTAGATCACTTTTAATTTTTTATTATGATGTGATACGTATCTTTTAGCCTGACTTTTGTTTGTTTTGCTTTGCTAAATATTTGCTTAAGATAAATTCCTAGCAGTGTAATTCTTGGGTATGAACATCTTTAGAGTCACTTGAGACCTGGAGGCTGGAAAACATTTTGCTGGTCATATAGTTGAGACCCCTTCATTTAGACAAAGGAGAAAAACTGAAGCTGGAAGAAGCAAAGCATTCAGGTGGACTGGGGCTTTCAGCCTGTGTTCCTGGCTTTTTTTTGATGGGGAGGGCAGGTACTGGGGATTGAACCCAGGGGCACTTGACCACAGAGCCACATCCCCAGCCCTATTTTGTATTTTATTTAGAGACAGGGTCTCACTGAGTTGCTTAGCACCTCGTCTTTGCTGAGGCTGCCTTTGAACTCGTGATCCTCCTGCCTCAGCCTCCCAAGCTGCTGAGATTATAGGCGCCCAGCCCCTGGCTTCTTTTTTGCTTCCTTAAAAATGTTCCCTTTAAAAAATAAACAAAAAAATGTTCCCTTTAGGCTGGGAGAAAGGAAAACAAATGTCTAGTGGTAAGAAGGGGGAAACTACATCTAGCTACTGAGAAAACAAAAGAAAACAAAGAAAGGAAGGAAGGAAGAAAAAACCAAAGGGGAAGAGGGAAAATGGTGGGGTCTGCCAGCCTGGATGAGAGCTGTGCTCCTGGAACCCAGCTGAACACTGGGGTCAGACTCACAGGAGGCCAGGGCTGGACTTCCTTGTTACCTTCAGTGGGTCTGCCCTGCAGGTGCACAGCAAAGGCAAATCAGTCTGGAGGTGGTGCTAGTCTGGAGTGGGAGGGAGGAGTTGGGAGGTGCCCCCACCTTGCAGGCTGAGATTGCTCTGGGCAGATTAAAAACAAATGTCTGCTGCCAGTCTGGGAGCACATGCCTCATGTTTCATTCTCTTTTCCCCACACTGCCGTGGGTACTTCACTGTTCAGGACATCCTAAGGTCTGAGCAGAGGCCTGTGTGTCAGCGTGAGTGTAGAGAGGTTTCTGGATCAGAGATCCTTCAGGAGAATTTTACTTGAAAGCTTCTTTGTAAGTTCTCTTCCCTTCTAGTCGACACAGCCAGATGTGCTTGTGATCTGCAAAGGAGGATAAATGGACTGGAAGCACCGCCTGAAAGGCGCTTTGCAGAAAGGGACACCCCTGTCACCCTGAAAAGCCAGGCCTGAGGAAGGGCACACCTCCCTGCCGCCAGCACTGGCGCCCTCTGCTGGCAAGTGCCTGGCCTGTGTTCCCTGGAGACACCCCAGCCAGCTGGGGCTTTGCCTCTGGGTTACATTTCTCCAGGTTCTCTGCTCTTCTTTATGATTTGACTTACAGCTGAACAACAAAACTATCTTCTTGTCACCTGACAGTGTAAGGTTGGTCTGCAGGTTTTTGAACATATTTCTGGTGCCAATCCTCCTTCCTTGGCACGGTTCCTGCAGTTCCAGGAGTAAGTTTCACTCCCCAACCCCCACACTTATCTGCTTTGAAAATCAGGTCTGCTCTCCAGGGTCAGAGTTCATTGCCATGGATCTGGAGTCTTTCTGAAGCCAGATTTAAAATTAGGCAGTCAGTGTAGGTAGGTAAATCGGGTCTAATATCGAGTGAAATCTAAAATGGAGGCCATGTTGAGAATGAATTCCCAGAAAAGTTGAGCAACTCTCCTGGGATGTTAATGAAGTCCAGGAAACAGCCCCCAGCAGATTTGAAGATAGCCCATCCCAATGAACAGCAAACTTGAAGATGCTGACTCGGTGTCCCAAGCCTTCGGGCCTTCCCAGCTGCATTCCATCACCGAAAACTATAAAATGGGGAGACAACCGCACTTCCACAGATTCCATCTCTTGGGTCCCCTTCTTCTTCCGGGAGAAGTCTTTTCTGCTGTCCTTTAATAAACTTCTAATTTTCCACTCTGACCTTGCCTCGGCGTGCTTCTCTGGTGTTATTCTTCAACATTGGGGAAGCAAGGACTCGTCACCCGTCAACAGCGGTAACATTTCCACTCACTGAAGTGGAAGACCTGCCTGTCTGACAGCAGGGTAAGTGGCCCAGTGTTAGCAAGAAGCCTGGAGCCCCAGGGCCACGCTGGAATTATAGAGCCCCCCAGTCAGGTGGGGAATCTGCCCTCACCCTTCACCCCTCAGGCTGCTTCGTCAAGGCGGGGTCATGGAGATCATCCCCTCCAGCCCCCTCAAAGGAACTGCACCTGAGGTTGCCTGGCCTGAGAGGTCTGACCACGCTATGCAGCCTCCATTGTGAACAGTTTACAGTGCTCGAGGGAAGGAACCCTGGGACTCCTACATGTGGTTTCTGTGAAGAGCCACAGGGGTGTTCTTAGTCAAAATGCTGCTGGTCATGCTCTGTGTTCTCTTATTTGATGGTGGCTGTAACACTGGAAGTGGAGGTAGGGCAGGGGCAGTCCCTTGCGCACATTTGTATAAGCGTGAGATGCAAGTGGTAAGATTAAGTTTGAGGATTTTGTCTACCACAGAGGAAATGGGTGTAGGAAGGGCAGAGAGCTGAAGAGGCTGAAAAAATATCTGTTATCATTTGCCTAGAAAACAAAACTACATGTAGATATGATTAATAAATATTGTATTTTTTCTCTGAGTGATGGGCAGAATAAGAAAGGAAATTCAGTAATGTGCAGCTAGGTCAGTGGCTCTCCTGTGTGCATGTATGAATGATGAGACACGCTGGGCAGACAGGAAGCTGCAGCTCAGACCTGTGATGGAGGAGGACATCTGGTCCTTATCCTGAAGGGCACCTACCATTGAGTTGGGGAAAACAGCTCATGTGAGACAATAAGAAAGCCCCATGTGGCCCTGGGCATAGCTCTCAGCCCATCCAGAAGAAGAGGAGTGTTTCCTCTCCCCCTGCCCCAAAACATTACATTTCAATGAATCTCTGACAAACCAGCACAATTGCTCCCAGTAGTTCTATGTCTCCCTTCTCTCAGTGCCTCCCAAATGCCACACATGCACATGTCAGAGAGGCCAATTTTGGTTTAATTTCCTGCAGCAGCATATAAAATAGATTAAGGAAATATAAAATCACAATGTGCATGTGTTGGGATAAACTTATCTCTTTCCATTAAATTTTATTTTTTAATGGTAGCCTTTAAGAGCCTGCACATAATCTTTCACAGAAGACTCATCTGAAGCCTCCAAAGAGGGGAGGTGCTGCACCCATGTATAGATTCTAAATGTCACAGGAGAAATGGCAGCATAGATTGTCTGCCATATGACAGGCACATGGTTCACTAAGGAATAAAGAAAGGGCCCCCAGAACTGATTTCAATCTCATCTTTTTTTTTTTGAAGTAATTTTAGAATTGTGGCCAT